CCATGCACTCGCACCACCACCCGCACCAGCTCAGCCCCATGGCATTCATCCTCCATGGCGGGCCACCATCACCACCATCCCCACGCACACCACCCCTTGAGCCAGTCCTCCGGCCACCACCACCACCACCATCACCACCACCACCAGGGCTATGGCAGCTCAGGGCTCGCCTTCAACTCTGCCGACTGCTTGGATTACAAGGAGCCTGGCGCCACCGCCGCTTCCTCTGCTTGGAAACTCAACTTCAACTCGCCCGACTGTCTGGACTATAAAGACCAAGCCTCGTGGCGGTTCCAGGTATTGTGAGCCCAGGAGTGGGAGAGGAGGAAGAGAAACGAAACTACCTACGCTCCCTGTGGTCCCCGTCCTGTTGCTGCTGCTGCACCACCCGCCTTTGCCTCGGCTTCTCCAGATCTGATTTTCATGCCCCTAAACGATGCCCATGGCCTGCACTGCCGCCCTCACCTTCGTGCCACTTGCTAGGGTAGGAGGTGCAAATCCACCCACCCCCTGGACGAAGGGACCGGTGCTTTGGCTTGGCCCACAAGTTCTATACGGGAGCGCTGTGTGCTCTCCCCCTTAACCCGACCGAACTCCCAATTCACCCTCTCCCAGTCTTTCTGGACAATTAGTATGCACTTGCAGCCTTCGGAGGCCCTTGGCTCTGACTGGCTGTTTGAGCCCTACACTTTTATTTATTCTTCCTGGACACTGGAGTCACTAACTGGCATGTGTTTGCCCATTCGAGTGCACCCACACTCTACTCCCAAACACCCACCGCGTATTCTTCCCGTGCAGGCTGCCGTCCCTTCATCTGCCCTGGGCCCCGCTCCCCGCCTGCAGGCCCGAGCTCTCGGCTCTTCCTCCTCCCAGGACGCAGGATGCGCTGGGGCCGGCCCCGGAGGAGGCGCCCCCCGCTTCTCACGCTCAGCCCCGCCCCGCGTAGACCAGGCTCACGCTTCCGCCTCAGCGGGAATGCTGTACATAGTCGGTCCGTTCCAAGGACCACTCACACTTTCTAGTGGCTGTTGGTTGAACTGAAGCATATCTCGTTTTAGCGCCCAGGAAATAGAACTTTAAGATATATACAACATATATATATATATACATATACACATCTATATATAAAACAAAAGCAAAAATATTTCCCTCTGTCCCCCTGCTTCTCTTCCTCAAACGATGGCGCTTTTCCTTTTTCAGTTGTTCAAAGCTGCCCTGCCCTCACACCTTTTCCCTGTTTGTATTTATTAAAGAGAACCGTTTGGGCGCTGGGGGTCGGAGGGCCCGGAGTGTGGAGGAAGCGGAAAAGTCAGGTTAGAGGGGAGGGGGCTGGGCTGGGGCGCAGGGCTGTGTCCTTCGGGGCTAAGCACAGGGTCGCAGTTCTGGTTTAGAGACCAAAAAAGAAAAAAAAAAGGAAAGAAAAACATGTTATGGGAAAACAAACAAACCCAGGTCCCAAACCCCAGTACCCGTTCCCGCCAGCTTCTCTCTCTAAGCCTCCCCTGTTTTGTCTAGTGAGTTCTTAGTGCACCTCGCGCTTCCAAATATGCGGACCGCCCGCGCCTGTGTATCAATTTTGGCTTTGGCCGTTTCGTCCAGTAGGTGGGAAAGTAATTTGTAAATTTAATTTGTCCGATGTGAAGACCACAAATTACTTGTTGAAATGTGAGGCAGCCCCCCACCCCGTTTATCTACATTACTTCCCGAAAATAAATGCAAATTCATGAGCGAACGGCTTGTCAGTGTGGCTCTTCTGATTCTAGCACTGGATCCGGGTCTCGGGGCCCTGAAGCGGGGGTGTGGGGGGGACGCCACTCCGTGTTAATAACCCGCGTGTTAATGATCTGTGTGCAGCTGGAGGCCGAAGGGTAGGGCGGGAAGACGTGGCGGGAGGAGTCCCCAGGAACGTTCTTTAGGGGTGTCCTCCCCTCCGGGTCAGCCAGGCCTCTTCCCCTCTTCGGCCCCAGGCCAGGCGGTTTGACCCCGCATCCCCTCCTGCCATCCAGGGCAGAGACAGGTGTCAGGACTCAATTCCCCGAAGCAATTCCTTTCTCTTTAGAGGCAGGAGCCTGGCAATGATTTCTTCACCCTAATTGCTTGCACCAGAAAGGAGAGGGGGAGGGGAAGAGGGTCGGGAGGCGGGAAAGGATAGCTCTGTAATGCTCTCAGCGCTGAGCCAAAAAGAAAACGAAAACAAAACGACCAAAAAAAAACCCCACCAAAAAACCCAAATGATCCGTGTCCTGCACGTTGGCAGCAGACAACCTTCCTTTCTGCCGAGCTGCGCCGGGGGAGGGGTGTGGGGATGGGGGGTGGGCTTCAGAAGGCTGGGGGACCCGAGTCATTCCGCCCGAGTGCTAAGCCTCAGCCCCGCTCCAGAAGTAGCCAAGGTACCTGGTTCGCGCTCTGAAGGTTAAAACGCAAACACAACGTCTAAAACCGTGGACGCGGACGCGTCCCACTTGGGCTTGCAGCGGGAGGTCGGAAAGGAGCCCCCGCACCCCCAGGGAGGTGGGATAGGGCAGGGGATGGAGTGGGGCGATGCCCCCAGGAAACCCAGAGCCCAGCTCTCCGACTCTGGCCTGGAACCTCCCTGGTGTAAGGCTCGATGAGCTGCTCACTTTGTTCCCCGCGCGGAAGGAAAAAAGTGAAAACAACGAAAAGT